TATCTACATGCTACAGTCATCTAACGTTCATCTATTACACAGGGCTACGAGTTTAAACTTCATTCAAGTTATTTTGGTTTTAATAACTGATTTTCCATAATTCAGCTACGCAGATTTCAAAAATATTAATCAATTTTTTTCTATCACGAAAAGATTTTTTTACAAATCGAGAAGAAAAAAACTGTTACTTAGATCAAATAATTATTTCGTTGACCACAATTGTTTATTATGTTTGTTAACAAAACTACATGCAATCTGAAAAAAAAAGGAAGATCATTGATATCAAACGAATGTGCATCCTCATTCATCCTGTATTTTTTTTTGTTAAGTCTACGTCTTTTAGTCTCAAAACTACGTGTTGTGGTTTTTCTTCTATGTATTGACTTATGACGTTTTGTGAAAAATCTATACATGATGGAGAAAAATGGATATCATTTTCAGATTCAGCGTACAGGAATTAACGTAGAACATGTAAAAATTTCAAGACAATAAAACCATCGCAGGCCTGTGTTATTGGCTGGTAATTCCTGTTTCACCTGTAATTAAGCTTTTTAAAGTAAGATAAGATATCTTTTGTAAGAAAGATAACTTCAAGGGGTAATGATAACGTAGTTTACACTGGAAGTATAATGTTTTTTAGCTTATGTAAAATATGTAAGAAACAAATAGACTTTTCAATACCCTTATGACTTTCACAGTACCTTATTTAGTATGCCACAAAAGGCTTGGGTGCAATATACCAAACCATTTTTTGTTGTAGGCTAGCAAGAGAATAATAATAAGATGAAAAATTACAAGCAGGCCATTTTGAGTGGATTTTCTTTTCCTTGTAATCTACCATGCGTGATTTTTTGTGTATTTTTATATGTGTACAGCCTTAGCAGTCAACAGTAAAAGTTTTAAAGTGTTGTTTGAACTGAATCTTTACTGTTTAAGGTGCTTTTTGCTCAAATGTTTTAGGGTTTTGTGCAATTCCTTGCGGTCCCTATTATGAACCACTATCATGGTTCGTGATATGTGTGTACTTAGACAAATAAACTACAGACATTTGACTACATTATATTAAGCGATCGTTAAATAAACAAGTCACGTGACAACCACAGCCGTTATAAAGTTGCAGTGGAATGGCATGTATGAGAACTAGATGGATTATGACATAAGTTGTTACCATGATATATCTGTTCAACCATCACATACCCCATGTAACTGAAGACATATTGTTTATGGGTTTTTTTGTGCAATTGGACTGTTGGAATGGTCTTTGGAAAATTGTCATTTTCCTACAGTAGATTATGGAAAATATGCAGGGAGTGCTAGTTGTGATTTGGACATGACAGCCTTACAACGATATATTGTGCAAAGGATACTACATTGGAGCTATTGTCAGATAGAGCATGACTGGACATGGCCAGACGGACTTCAACACCATGGTGATTCATCAAAATCATTTTAATATGATCTATTCAAGCCTGTATAATGTTAATTTTCAGTATAATTACAATAAGATATCACACAGTTAGATTAGTAGAAGTGAATTTGGTAAAATCGGTGTATAATGGACAACCTGATAGATGATTTTTCTGTTGGAGACAATGTTTCAAAAATGTATCGAACGTTCGACACCAATAAAGAAACCTTCCAGCAAATTAGCCATTATAAATCCATTTTAACAATTGATCAACCTGCCAGCAAAGCATTACCTTCATAGAGATCGCCTTGTTTGTGCTTACATTGTCTTGAAACCAATATGGGATTGTTACAAAAGGTTGAAATATCCTATTAGTCAGTACAACATTAAATCATTAACAATGCTTCAAGAAATCACAAGTATTACTATTATATAACAGCTTACTTTTACAAGAAAAAAGAGAGTTAAATTTCGAATATCATCCAAATTATTACGAGTAGTTGAAACTTCAATAGCATCCAATTATTTGAGGAAAGCCCCTATATAGGCTTACTACTCTGAAAACAAATTACATCTGCCTATAGAAACACCGTCTACATTTGTAAGGCATAAACAATTAAATATCTAAGTAAAAATCATAAAGTTAATAAGAGTAAAATAGCAGGCTTACAGATTTACTTATAAAGCAAAACTGTAATTGTAATACCTTTTCAACTACTGATAATTGTAATTATTAATTTTAAAACTTTGATCGTTAATATAAAGTTGATGTCATGTTGATTTACATCCCGCTATAGTTGTTTGCTTGATCTTCATCATACCAATGCAGTCTATAGTGCCACTTTGTGGAACTATGATCCAAGCAACATGCTCTCTGGTGTCGCTTGGTAGAACTACGACATAATCGTCTCTGGTGCTTGGCAATATGACGTCATCGTCTAGCCTTGCCCCATCGCACGAGATAGCTAATCAGCGTCCACAGTTTCTACTTCAGCCAATCCC